TGAAAATGAATTTTTGTGTATGAAACTGTGTATTTTAATAATGAAATGGAGATCTTTTTTAAAGGTTAAAACCTCATTTAATATTTATGTCTTATTGGTTAAAATATTTACTGAGTAATTAAAAAAAAAAAAAAAAAAAAAAAAAAGTTAAAAGCAAGATTAACAAACCCTTAGCCAAATTAACCAAAAGAAAGAAGACTCAGATACATATAAGCACATGTTCAGTTACCTGATTTTTACAAAGAGACCAAAAATACACTTTGGAGCAAAGATAGCATCTTCAGCAAATAGTGCTGGTCAAATGGATAGCGACATGTACAAGAACGAAACTAAATCTGTATCACTCACCCTGTATAAAACTCAACATAAGACCTGATGACTACAGGAAAAAGCAAGAAATACTCTTCGACTTTGGGGGACAAAAATGGACTTTCTCAGCTGGGCATGGACTTTCTGAACAGGGCATAAGAAAGGACTTTCTTGGTTTTTTTTTTTTGTTGTTGTTGTTATTGTTTAAAACAGGGTCTCTATACCCTCAGCTTGTCTGGAGCTCACTATGTAGATCAGGCTGGCCTTAATCTCAGAGATATGCCTGCCTCTGACTCCAGAGTGCTGGGATTAGAGAAATGTACCACCATGTCCAGAGTAAGAAAGGATTTTTTGAACTTGGTAGCACTAACATTAAGACCAACAACTGACAAGTGGGACCTCATGAAATTCATGAAATTAAACAGCTTCTACATAGCAGAGGACACCATCATTCCAGGTAAAAGGCAGCTTACAGAATAGGAAAACGTCTTTACCAGCATTACATCTGACAGTATACTGAATATAAAAGAAATAAAGAACTAAATACCAGGAAAAATTGGGCAAGGAACTAACCAGAGAGTTTTAAAAGAAGAAATACAAATGGCTGTGAGATGTCCTTGGCTGTCAGGGAAATGCAAATTAAAACTACTTTGAGATTTCATCTTACCCCAGCCATAATGGCCAGGAGGAAACAAGATCAACAACAAAACAAATTACAAATGCTGGTAAGGGTATGGGGAAAGTAGAGTACTCCTGAGTACAAACTGGTATAGTCACGTATGGAAATCAGTGTGGAGGTTCTTCAAAATATTAAGAATAGATCTGTCCTAAGACCTGGCCATACCACTCCTGGGCATATTCCCAAAGGTTTCTACTACAGAGATATCTGTTCATCCATGTTCAGTGCTGTTTTATTCAAAATAATCCAAAATGGAAAAACCACAAACTGATGAATAGGTAATGAAAATGTAGTACAGATACTTATTACAATATTATTCAGCTGTTAAGAGAAATGAAACTATGAAATTCACAGGTAAATGGAAGGAGCTGGATATAATTATTCTGAGCAAGGTAACGCAGAACCAGAAAGATAAATGCCACGTTCTCTCTCATATGTGGATACTAGATTTGAAGCTTTAGATATGTATGCTTGAGTACCCATAGAATTCAGAAAACTAATAAAGGGCTAGACAGGGGAAGGAGGATAGATTTCAAAGAAAGGGGGATAAAACACAGGTAGTATGAAGGGGGAAAGGGGAACTATGGAACAGGAAGTGTTAAATGGGGGCAGGAATAAAAGGCAAGAAGAGTAGTGAGAATGGAGAGAAACAACTAAAGATCTTTGAAAATGCCATATGGAAACCGACTACTATAGATCCTTCCTAAAACAAATGCATATATTTATATAAAAGGAGTTTAAATGGAGAGACCCTGTAACAAGGGAACAAAGTCTGATCCAGACAACATTGGCTATCAAAGAAAAGGCCAAATGGTATAGGCTACTTCTTTCCAAGTTTTAGGTCAACAGAGTCCCCCTAGACTACTCCCTACCCCAAACATTACAGGCTAATTCTACTGTTCTTGGTTACCCTCCAGAACTTGATGGTAAGATCTTATTGTTGAAGACGCCACATACTTGAGTTATAGGGCATGGAGAAAACAAGCTGATTACCAACCTTGAAGTTTCATATCTAATGGATAGTTTTCATAGTGTTGGAAAGTAATATTTATGCAACCAAGGAAGAAAAATAACTAATAGTTTCACCTAGCTATGAACCCTGCAAGCTGCAATAACAACTGTCTTGGAAAGATATGCTCACTAGTAATAGTGGCATAAATGTTATGGGAACAAACAAACACTTTCTGATTGGATTTAAAGTGCATCTACAAGACAGAACTCACACTTGGTACTGTTAACTATGTCAAAAATCCATGGCTGGCTAAGTCATAGGCACTAGGGGAGACATAATACTATTATTTTACTAAATGGACATGGTAATATAGTATCCCTTAAGATCTTTATACCCATAGATTAGTGTATCTCTCAATCCTCATCATAGACACTTCTTTCAATAATAAGAGACCTTTTTTCAGCACTAAATGGGACAAATATATCATCCCTCCCCAAATGCTCAGGGATTATTGTGGAAGAGGGGGCAGAAAGATTCTAAGAGCCAGAAGTAGATGCCTGTAGCAAAACAGTATTTGTTGGACATGACAGCACAGTTGCATGCATGAACCACAGTTGCTAGAGCTGCATGCACAGAAAGACTGGCACAAGATCAAGCCATCCAAAATCTCAGTGTGGATGGGGGAAGGGATCACGAAGTCTCCCCCCTAATTTGAGAAGTATTAGCAACTGATGCCTGCTGGAGGAGGGAGAGTCAGTTTTTCTCAGGAATGCAGCCCCCGAGAGACTACCCATACTCCAGTAGATGGTTCTATACCCACGCACACACAGGAAGCAGTAAATAGACTCAGAGGGTTTAGAAAAAAAGAGCACATGAAGTTGGAAGGAAGAAGTGGTAGAATGGGATAGGAGAGGAATTAGAGGGAAGGAAACAGGGGGTGGATTTAAGCAAAACACAGTTGATGCATTAAAAAAAACAACTGCAGTCCTTAGAAAATTATAATCTTTTTGAAAGTTTTTTTTTTTTTTCTCTTTTTCCAAATTATGTGTACGTGTGTGTCTGTGCATGAAAGAGTAAGCGTTGAAGGAAGGTACCCAAGGGGTCCAGAAAAGGGTACTAGATCACCTGGAGCTGGAGTTACATGTGGCTGTCATCTGACATGGATGCTGGAAATGAACTCAAGTGCTCTGGAATAAAAGCATATGATCTTAAACATTAAGCTATGTCTCCAGCTCCACAAAGTTATAATATTAAAAGTCTATATCTCAGGATTACCAAAAGAGAAATATGAGAATTAATTTTTTCAGTTTTTTGATTTTAAGATGCTGCAGTGTTATTATGCTTCATGGATACTCAAGAGTTTAGATGATCAATAAATATTAGTGTCTGAAATTCTTTGAAGAGAAGCATACATTTATACCTTGTGTCATGTTTGATTTGTTTATTTGAAACTTAAACTCAATAACTACTTCTATCAAAAGATAAAACACTATCATACCTTGGCACCATATATATCTGAGTTCTTCATTAAAAGTTCTGCTGATGTTCGTACTGTGATTCCTGTAGTTTCACACTGCAGTACACAGTTATCCAGTGTGGTCTTGCCATGGTGAATGACTGTAACAAAAATGCAGAGTCAACTGTTTTATGTGATATACCTATTCAAAATAAGTATTTCCCAGAGGTATAATTTAAACTTTATTTTGTAACACATTACAAATTGGTAAAATGTGAAGCAGTGCCTATTTTGAGTTATTTCCATAATCTAAAAGTTGCATGTTTAAAGATAAATGACAAGGGAGATGGCTCTGAGCAAAGCACAGGCCAACCATGTGTGAAGACCTGAGTTTAAATCCCCAGAGCTCAAGCAAAGCGAGGTGAGAGGTATATATGCCTATAATCTTAGTGCTCCTACATTGAGATGAAATTGGAAAACAGAAGAATCCCTAGAAGACCCCAGGCCAGCTAGCCTGGCATATATAGTGGTTAACAACAAAAAGACACTAGCTCAAACAAGGAGGAAGGTGATGACTCACACCCAAGGCTGTCCTCTGACCTAAACCCACTCTGCATGGCACACATGCACCCATATTCAAACACAAAAACACATATGGACATACACACAAAATGACATAACTTCACAAATGCAAAAGCACTTATTCATTATAAAAATAGGCGTATAATATTCTTATATTATTGATACATATATGTCAATGAGCAGCTTTGCTGGATATCTTGTGAAAAGAAAAAGGACCTTGAGAAACAGGTGGATACAGGTTCTATAAAATGAATACTAGAGCAATGTCTTAGTCATTTTTGGAGTAGCTATAACAAAATACCCGACTTAAGATGATGCAAAAAGAAAGGGGTTAATCTAGCTTATGATTCTGGTATCTATAAAGTCCAAACAGCATTATCTGGTAAGACCTCCTCAGCTATGTTATAACTGGCGTAACAGTTAAGGGTTGCATGGACAAGGGGTACATGTACTTGAGCAAGTACAGAGGGGTCACATTCATTCTTACAACTCACGTCAGGGGAATTAATCTGCTCCTATGAGACTTGTATTAACCCATTCCTTAAATTGCCCTTGCAATTTAATTACCTAGCACTAGGTCCCACGTCCTAAGGGTTCTACCATTCCAGTACTGCTATACTGCTAGACAGGCACAGTAACACAGGCTGTAATCCCAGCACTAAGGAGGCTGAGGCAGGAGGACTACCGTGAGTTCCAGGGAAGCATGGGCAAAAGAATGAAACAAAACCACAACTCACAGAAAAGAGACTAATATTAAATTAACAAGTTGTAAGAATAATCTGAACTATTTTTCAGATTGAAGCTTCCTAAATAATGCTATATACATAAATTATTAAACAGCCCTCCAAATATTCAAGTGGTATTCCATTAAATTCAGGCTTCTATAATATTCCATGGAAAGCATTTTTTTTTTTCAAATTTCAAAGCCTAAAACAAGTAATACAGCAAACATCCAGATACTTACTTAAGATTCCTTCTACAGAATCATGCTGAACAAATTTTATGCTTGAAATTTTAATATCCACACCAGTGCAGTCCACAAAAGTATCTCCTTTGCCCCTCTTTTCTATTACAATCTCATCTGGCAGACCATACCCTAGGGAAGAGAGTAAGAACACACAGGAAGGGGTGTCTACACACAAAAATGTTACACCAGGTTTCTCTAGTTTAAATGATTAAAAATGGTCATTTGAGACCAATCCAGTTGCAATTAAATAAAATCTATCGTTTACATAGCTTGTTTAATTTAATCTAGTATATCTAATTTTAAAATAACAAATTCCCAATTGTATTCCTTTTAGGGAAACTATCCTGCCAGCTGTTTTATAAAACTGCTATAAACTCTAAGTAATTAAAGAGTTGGATTGACGGGCTTTAAAGCTTTCAGCCTTTTTAACTTTTTTTTCTAACACTAATATTCTATGATTCTAACATGAATCACATTTGAATATTTCTCAAGATTACCTAATTTTATAATATTCTGTTAAACAGACTGGATTCATGTCTGACAAAATGACTTGTTTTACCTACTAGGAAAGATTGTCTATTTTTTTAACAAAAAGACCACTGGATCTGTTTTGGTAACTGATGGCTGCTGACAGGAAGAGAGGGTCTCCTTCAAGGATGGGACTCTTGGTAGGTTAACTGGGCTCCAGTGAGTGGACCCACACTGAAGGACATTTGGAGAAAAAGACTCTATAGGCCTTATTATATAAATAATAGAGTATACAAAATTGGGTGAGGGAGCAAAAAGGGGAGGTATGAATAGGGGAGGGGATCTAAATACTATCAAATTATACTGTATGAAAATCACAACAATTCAATAAAAAACATACTTAGAGCTTCCTAGGTATGAAAATCAAAGGCCGAGTATTTATTACAAAGTATAGCTCAAAAATAGAAAAGAACCTAAGAATGTGGTTGCATGCTACTGCATCAAATACAATGTCAAATGTTGAAACAACCTAAATATTTATCCATAGGAAAAAGCAATTATAGACCAGATATCCATCAACAGATGCATGGATAAGGAAATTGTGGTATACATATACACAATAAAATTTTATTCACCCATAAAAAATGAATTATAAGGGGCTGGAGAGATGGCTCAGCAGTTAGGAGCACTGACTGCTCTTGCAGAGGACCTGGATTCAATTCCCAGCACCCACATGGCATCCTTAACTCCAGCTCCCAGGGAATCTGAAGCCCTCTTCTGACCTCCACGGCATTGCACGACACGGGTGCACTCACATACATGCAGGCAATACACTCATACACATAAAATAAATATAATAAATAAAAAATATTTAAAAAGTATTAAAAAATGAATTATAAAATTTGCAAGATGAAAGTGGAAACTATTAAATGAGTAATCCAGGCTCAGAGAGACAGACACCTATTTTTTCTCTTACATGTAGATCCTAGCTTCTAATTTTCATATATTTGTATTTATACATGAGTGAGAACCGAAAGATGTCATGAAACTAGAAAAGCACCTGTGAGAAGAGAAAAAAAGAGGCCTTAAGGGAGAGGGGTGGGTGGGAGGAGTAATAGAACACATGTGATTTGAAAGTAGAAGGAGGAATCCTGGGAATCAAAGTGTTCAAGCAGAGATGGGAACGGGGAGACAGTACATAATACCAGCCTGCAGTAAGGGTCAACCAAAACTAAGTACGCATGAAAATGTCAGAAGGAAACCTACTGCTTGTTACTTAACCAATAAAATTAAATTTAAATAAATATATGTATAAAACTATAAATATTTTTCTATTCTCGAAACAGATTTCCTTTTTATAAATCACCTATTTTCTGGAAACTATATTTGTTGCTAATGATCTTTTTTTTTTAAAACACATGCCTATAAAAATCTAAACACACTGCTACAAAGACCTATGACTCGAATTACTCAAATACTTCAATTTCCTGCATGATTTAAGTATCCTTAATGTGTCAAAACAGCTCACTTGAAATCAAATGACCAGTAATTTACTGTTTACTTATGAGAGTTTGCTTGTGATCTTCCATACTCACCTTCCAACTCAATGGAGTCAGCTATGGAGAATGTGCCATGAACCACATAATGGCCAGGACAAACAATGACAGTGTCACCCTCATAGCAGGCATTTATAGCAGACAACAGATCACTGTGGAACTAGATCACAACAACATATGGTAAATATACATCCCCCTAAAAACTTGAGTGCCTTCATACCTCATAGGAAAATAAAGCCAAACTTTGTTTTTATGCATCTTTGATAGCTCTTAGCCCAGTTTGTGCTTGTAAGCTACTATCACTGAGGAAGAATAATGCTCTCATTTCTTCCCATTTCACAGATAACCAGATCTGGAAAGTTCCTGAAAACACTTTGTAGATTCATGAAAACTTGGAGTGGATCAAAAGTAACTTAGAAGAAGAAATTCTCATTTTACCTGAATTTCTGATTCTTCTTTATAAGATTCCTCACAAAACCTGTCCCTGAATAGAGACCGAAGCAGACTGGCCTTGATGATGGAGGAGACGACATGGGTGACCTTCTGGCTATTTGGACGAGCACCCTTTGCTTGGATATTCGAGTTCTTCTGATAACCAAATACATATCTTAAAGAAAGCAAGCAAACCCATCAGTCCTCCTAAGACAGCTAGTAAGATAAGATGCTAACTAGTTAAAAATAGCAAAAAAGTCACATACCTCAACAAAGGATTCTCAATGAGTTTCAGCTTTTGTTTCAGCTGTTCAATCTCTGAATACAAATTTAACCCTTCCACCATGGAGATATTTTCCTGCTCAGAATCAGAATTACAATTTGACAAACTGCTTCTCAGATTTAAAAATTTCCTGTAACTATCTTCACACTGAGACAACAGATTATGGTAGTCAGTAATAAGTCCTGAAGGAACTCGGTCTTCAAGTATATCATAATGCCTGAAAGTTTAAAATCAAATTGAAATCCACTGCCTTTCTGGTACATTTTTCTATCATTAAGATATCTAATTTAGTCTTCAGAGAGTCAGTTAAAAAAAAGTATTAGAGAGAGTAATGGGGTTGGGGGAGTGAATAAATAATAGAAAAAATTTTGTATGTTTTATAGTATATAACTCTGGTGCATGTTAAGTCATTCTGAATAATAATGAATTACACATTAAATCAATTAGGAATTTGAAATGCTGCTTCCTTAGAAATACTGACTTTTCTTTGGAAGAATCACTTTCTTCTTCAGATCCAAGCATGTATGCTTTTTGTTTTATTAAATTTTTGAAAATTTCATATAATTTATTTTTATCATACTTAGACCCTCTCCCTTATTCTCCACCTGTCTTATAGACCCCCACCAAATTTCATGTACTTTGTCATATATATTAAGGCCTATTGGGTCAGGTTTGTGTCCTCAAATGTCCTCAGATGTGCATCCATCCGCTGGAGTCTGGTTAACCTGTCTAGTATGAAACCCTTAAAAAAAAAAGAATCTCCCTCTTCCAACAATTATTGATTGTCAATAGTTCCTCTGGTAAGTCTGGGGTTTCTTACCCACTTTCATACTTTTATGCTGAGATTTTGTCTGGCTTGTGCATGTTGTTACCATCAAGCATGTACAATTTTAAAACATCGTCAGTTCATGCTGAACAATTTTTAATTATTTAATAAAACTTTCCTTCTCATAGATTTAGAATAATTAGGCAGCAAGGGGCAATCTGAGAGTGGAGGGAAGGAAGCATCTCATTGTTTCACAATAATGCTTAAGATGACCATATTTAGCAGATCAAAAATATTGCAGGGCATGGTAGCATGCACCTTTGCAGGGCGATCAAGGAGTTCATGGTCATCCTTGGCTATAAAGTGAATTTGAGGCAAGTTTGTCTCAAAACAAAACTACACGCACCCCCCGCCCCAAACACACAAAAAATGCAGGCGTCTAATCTTCCCACAAGAGTCATTTAATAATTTGTCAAGAGACTGTACTATTCATAATTCAGTTTATTTTGGGTCTCTGAAGTTCCTGTGTATGTGTCTACCTTGTCAGTAATAAATACTTACAATCTCAATCGAGGTTCAACACATCTAACAAAATAATCATATTCATCTTCCTCTTCTTCATCCCAACTCCTCCAAATGTTTTTGTAGAAAAACCTGAAAAGCAGCTTAGTATCAATCAAATTCAATTATTCATTTAAAAGGCTGGCATACCTTTTAGACTACAAAATGCTAAGCAATATTACTGACATTATGATCATCACATTATCTAATTTTCTAATCCCTAGATTATGCATCCAACTTTATTATTTTTAATCTTTTTTCCAAAGGTTTCTTTCTTTGGAATTTTATTTGTGAAAGACAATTGTTTTTAGACAAATAGGCTAGTGAAGACTGACAGTGTATATATAGATATATATATGTATATGCCTATGATTCAGATACAGATGAGGGATGTTTTTATTACCCACCTTAGAGATATAAATAAGAAACAAAGAATTAACATATCTACTGTTAAGTTTGATCATATATATTATATAGCTTTAATAAAAACATTTTTAATATTATTAATAGTACAACCTTTTCTCTTATTCAGCAATTCAAATTCAGGTTTTAGTGTCCAATTAAAGGTATTCATGATATGCATCCTGTCTTAAGTAGCCAAAGTTTCTTTAGTAAATATACATATACTGAAATACACTATATCAGCAACTATTTGATAAAAAACTTATCTTTAGTAATTTTAAAAGCATACTTGTTAATCCAGATATTAAAGGCGTTTTATCTCATTTCAGAAACAAAAATACACTAATGAAAGTGAAACTAAATTATGCCAAAAACACCAACAACAAGAACCAAAAAACAGACACATGAACACATCCTCTAATGACCCACAAAGCAGCATAAGAAAATAACTTCCTGGGCCATACAGTGTTGGAAATGTGACATACTAGTCGTACCAGTGGTATACGACTATCTCTGTTTCCTTATCTTTCATTGTCTTTATTCCTGTTCCATTATATTCAACTATCAACCACAAGCCTTAGCATCCACAACTTTTAAGGCAGCTTCTAAATCTATATAATCCAAACTAATCCTTTGTCTTTTGTCAACATTTGGAGAAATCCAGTAATAAACAGCAATTCCTTGTACTACTTTTTAAAACTTTTCTAAAGCTTAAAACAATCACAATATGAATATTTAAGACATTACATTTTTGCTTTTAATTAAAAAAAGAGATTCTTCTAAGGCATGGATGTGTGACTCAGTGGTACAATGCTTCCATATTTCACATTTATGATGTCTTAGGTTCAATCCTCATGACAGCAA